AGGAAAAATGGGAAGTTGTAGCTAAATGTACCTTTATTTACAGAATATTCATCACAAAATTTTAAACAGAGGTGGTCAACACATACAGAATATTTTGTAAATATTTTGTACAATTCTGTATTGTATTTTGAGGGATGGACTTTGTAGGCTAGACTGGGAATCTCCAAACCACTTCTAACACTGGAACTCAAAATGACTTCTCTCACAGAAATTAGCAATTAAATGTTGTTCTGTTTTCTCAGACGCATGGTCCTAGCTCTCCAGAGGTTCACAATTGGGTCCCCCTCCCCTTCTTTATAAAAGCACATCTCAATTATTTTAAAGCTTGGTATTTGCATATACTGTGTTGTCTTACGATGGAAAAGATATATATTGACTGGGCCTCATATTCCTAAAACATCCTGCAAGAAGCATATTCTCCATAAAGCCCCTGCTGCAGTGGTTACTGAGCTAGCCACATACACTGAGGCTGGAGAGTTTCAAACCAGCCCAGGCCAGCTAAACAACAATGACAACTGCAACAGAAAAATAGCCTGACGTTGTGGCAGGCACACAGTCCCAGCTACGCAAGAGAATCGCGTAAGCCCAAGACTTTGAGGTTGCTGTGAGCTGTGATGCCACTGCACTCTACTGAGGGTGACAAAGTAAGACTGTCTCAAAAAAAAAAAAAGCCCCTATAACTTGACCCTAATACTTAGCTCTCCCTTCTCTGAACTTGTCATCACTTTCAGAAACATTTAATTATAAAGAGGGTGCCAAAAATATAAATATAAATTTTTAAAAACGTATCTATGTATTACTTTTCAAAGCTGAACTGAAGGTATTGTTACTGGTCAATTGTACCTGGACATGCTATGCACGTCCATTTTACCTGCAATCCATGTGCTTTTTGGAAATGACAGAGTTTATTTCCAAGAGATCACTTAAAATGTGTATACATTTTTTTGGCACCCCAATATATTGTTCTCTATTAAAGCTTTTGAAAAGCTGAGAGTAGATTATATGTATGCTGCAGATATTGATCACCTCACCCCTCCAGGTAGTCTGGCAGGGCCTAGGGTGGCCTCAGGTGTGAACTCATCAGTTTAGCCGGATGTGTTGTATATATAGTCTAATTTTCTATGTGTGCCTTGCTGCTTTTAAAAAATGAATTGAAGGTGGGCAAAACAGTTCAAGAAGGTATTAAAATTTAAAGTTCTGGCCATGCACAGTGGCTCATAGGTATATGCCTAGTACTTTGGAAGGTCAAGGCAAGGGGATCGTTTGAGGCCAAGAGTTTGAGACAAGCCTGGGCAGCAAAATAAAAATCCATCTCTACAAAAATTTAAAAATTAGCTAGTGTGGCACATGCCTGAGGCAGGAAGATCATTTGAGCCCAGGAGATAGATGTCACAGTGACCCATGATAGTACCACTGCATTCCAGCTTGGGCAACAAAGCAAGATCCAGTCTCAAAAAAAAAAACTGAGAGAACTAAGATTCTGCCCCAGCGTTAGGTTACCACTCCATTTCTAAAAAGTAAAACAAGAGATTATAATTTATGCAACAGAAGTGCAATTTATCCAAGAAAGATGCATAAGTCTAATAGGGAGATACAAAAATGTTAAGGCCTTGGTTTTAAATTAAAATAAAATATTCAAAGTATACATTTATCTTTTTTGATAATGACTTTTTTTTTTTTTAAGACAGAGTCTTATTATGTCGCCCTCAGTAGAGTCACAGCTCACAGCAACCTCAAACTCTTGGGCTTAAGTGATTACCTTGCCTCAGCCTCCCAAGTAGCTGGGACTACAGGCGCCTGGCTACGTTTTTTGTTGTAGTTGTCATTGTTGTTCAAACCTGCCAGCCCCAGTGCATGTGGTTGGCACCCTAGCCCCCTGAGCTATAGGTGCCAAGTCAATTAAATGACTTTCGATTAACGACAAACTATTTGATCCCAATTATGCTTTCTAAGAAGAAATAGTACTTAAGTTCTAGCAATTTGTTTACAAAGAGAATATAATCTTGACTTTAAAGAAGCAAACCAAAACCTAACATATTCTATACCCAGAGTGTCAATTTCTATAAATCAGAACTGATGTTACTGCACTCTGATTTTACAATTGAATGACATGAACTTTCTCCCAGACTGGTGGTTATTATAAAAAGAAAAAATTCACATCAATCCTTAGACATAATTGCTTTTTCAAAGTTGCATTAAAAATACTATCAATCTTTTTATGTCACTAATCATTAGAGAAATGCAAATTATTAATAAAAACTTCAATGCAATACTTTTACATGCACTAACGACTAAAATTTAAAATGGTAACACTAAATATTGACAAGGATACAAAAAAACTGAAATCTTTACGCACCACTGGTAGAAATGCAGAAGATATTGCCATCTTATAAGTTAAACATACCTGTGCCACATAACTCACAGAAATGAAAACATGGGCCCACACAAAGATTTATATACAAAAGTTCATAGTAGTTTAATTCATAACAGCCAAAAAGTGAAAACAAACCCAGTTTCTATCAACTGATGAACACATATACAATGCAATACTATTCAGCAATAAGAAGGAACTATCAATACATGCAACAATTTAACTGAACCTCAAAAGCATTATGCTAAATGAAAAGAGTCAAACACAAAGGACCAGATACGGTATGATTTCGTTTTTTAGCAAACTCTAGAAAAGGCAAAACTATACTGATAAAAAGCAGATCAGTGGTTGTCAGAAGCTACAGGTTGGACAAGACAGAACTGACTGCAGAAAAGAGGCAAGAAAAATCATTTTAGGGTGATGGCAATGTTATACATCATGACAGTGTTATTACAGGACTATATATTTTTCAAAACCAATCAAGTTATACACTTAAAACTAGTGGATTTTATCATAATATATGTCAATAAAGATGACAAAAGACATTAACAGAAAGAAGTCCTGGGGAAAAGTTCTCACTTTACTCTCTAAGTTTTCAATACGATATGCTTTACTTACACTTTTTTCTTTTTAACATAAAAGTCTATAATCCCAGAATCACCATGATAAATTTCTTGATGTTCTCTGATAAATACTGAAGATTAAGACAAATTTTATATACTGTCATTGTCAATCTAGGGCCATCTAAGTTGAGAAATCGATAACCAAATGTTCTTTTTATGTCAAAGATAACTACTATTCACGTAAATACACGTATATGCTGCTTTCCTCATTTAAACTTTACTACTTCTTCTTTTTTTTTTTTTTTTGGAGACAGGAACCTCAAGCTGTCCCCCTTGGTAGAGTGCTGTGGCATCTCAGCTCACAGCAACCTCCAACTCTGGGCTCAAGCGAGTTTCCTGCCTCAGCCTCCCAAGTAGCTGGGACCACAGGCACCCGCTACAACGCCCGGCTATTTTTTGGTTGCAGCCGTCATTGTTGTTTGGCAGACCCAGGCTGGATTCCAACCGGCCACCTTCCAACCGGTGTACGTGGCTGGCACCTTAGCCACTTGAGCCACAGGCGCCGAGCCAAACTTTGCTTCTTTTTAAGACAGAGTCTCACTCTGTCACCCAGGCTACAGTGCTATGTCCTCAGCCTACCTCACAGCAACCTCAAACTCCTAGGCTCAAGCAATCCTCCCACCTCTACCTCCTGAGTAGCTGGGACTATAGGCACCTGCTATAATGCCAGGCTAATTTTTTTATTTTCAGGAGAGACAGGGGTCTCATTCTTGCTCAGGCTGGTCTTGAATTCCTGAGCTAGGTGTAAACCACCAACCCAGCCTCATTTAAACTTTAAAAATTTTAATTAACATTATTTTGACAAGTTTAATTAATTAAAATGCTTTATTCTCCATTACCTATTTGTTTCTTCCTAAAACCATATTTAGACAGGAGAGGTTTAAAGGTACTAGATTTAATGTTTAGTTTTTAGGTAACTTAATATCCAACAAAATAAACTTAACTGTGCCAGAAGCAGATACAGAATGAAAATGATCAACCATCATAAAAGTCTGAGGAAAATACATAAAAGTAATGCCAAAAGATAGCTCACTGGTGACTTACAGGGGCAGGCTCATCCAGATTTTCAGTTCCTCTTGAAAAAAAAAAATTCAAAAGCTCTAGCTAGAGAGGGCCCACAGAACTAAATTACTACTATCAGCTAAAGCTAAGATGACATTATCCCTTTAGAGATGGCAAGAACTCTTCAATTTGTTCAGGTTCCATGACACTTAAATTCACTCACTGTCACTACCTTCATAGCTACATGTACCTGAGTTTTCAAACCCTAGCAGGTCTATTTCTTTTAGTGCCTCAACTCAACATAATTGAGACTTATACTGACGTTTCCCCTAGATTTGCTATGACCAGTTGGGGCAGACTTAAAAAATCTGTTTATTGGGCGGCGCCTGTGGCTCAAGAACGGTGCCAGCCCCATATGCCGGAGGTGGAGGGTTCAAACCCAGCCCTGGCCAAAGACTGCAAAAAAAAAAAAGATCTGTTTATTAATAGTAAATTATAATAACATATACACTCTACTATGAACTAGAAAATATATAAAGAATGCTGATGATACAATACCAAATGTATAAAAATTATTAGCAATTTAGTATATTTGCAACCCAGATAGACAAACCCAGATAACCTTACTTACTACATTCATTAATATAAGAAAACCATTTCCATGTAGAAAATCAAAACAAGAAACAAAACATCTTTGTTCCTCCAACATGAAAAGTGACCCTCTTAAATACACATAAAGGGCACATTAAGTATAAATAAGGTTTTAACAAAATGCTAAAATAAAATACAATAAAATGTTAGGAAAGAAATAGGAATATAATTCTAAGCATTTACTCATTAGCTAGAATTATTGTTTACCTCATTTAATGAAAAGGGAAACTTTTTTTATCACAACTTTGAGGTAACTGCTGAGATAACTCTTTTTAGTTACCAAAGAAAAATCTACACAGTTCTAGATACAAAAAGCCGTGAGTTAATAAAAAAAGAAAATCTAACAGACTTACCCGCTCTGTGGCTCCTTCCTCCCCTGGTAGACATGCAGCAGCAGCACAAGCTATTTCCATTATAGCAGAGCTAGTAGGAGCATCAGTCGTTGATGAAGACCTGGGTCGGCCTGACTGCATGACAGCTGTCATCTCCTGGCCAGATTTCCTGTTGATTTGGGGACTTCCTTTTGGGGCCTCTGGCTTGCCCCGCCTACTATGCAAGCTTGTCCCTCTCTTCATCTTGGGTGGCACTCGAATCTGCTGCAGGACACGATTCAGAGCTGTAGGGTGGGTGGGGACACCATCAATCTCAGCACATGCGTTCTGGCTTTCCAGATCCATCTCAGGTTCTGGATCTGTCTGAATCTGCTGCACATCATGTGGAGACACTGATGACCTCCTGCGCTGGTGCTGGAAGAGATGCTTCAAGCCTTGGCCAATCACATTAATGTTCTCCAAAGCATTGTGGGTCATTTTAGACAACTTTTGTTCTGATTCTGTCTGCTTTCTGGCCTCTGCATCTTGGGATTTGCCTCCAGGATCAGGATCCTCATATAACTGTTCACTGCCCGAAGGCTCCATCAGTAGACTTAATATGCTTATTTGCAAACTTAAAAATTTTTAAACATACCAAGACTGTCAAATTAGGTAGGCATTTGCTTCAACAGTGACTACGCATGCAGCTGTGAGACGGAGGCTTCATGCCTATCTAATGTTAAAAAAAAAAAAAAAAAAGAACCTTATATTATAAATCCATGCAGAAACTCCAGTGTTAGAAAAACATGCTGCTAGCCAAACAAATAGGCACATTCATTAAGCAATCTTTAATCAGAAGATTAAAAGATGTTATTTAAATAGTGGGCAATAATTATTTTCTAGAAAAGAAGAAAAACCCCAGAGCAAGTACACAGGAAATGAAAACAGCAATAATTGTTTTTAATCCCTACAAGTTTCAATATATGAAGAAATATATCCATATATGAAGTATATGGATACTAGAAGAGCCATCTTAAAATAGACACCATAATAGTAGTTGATAGAACAGCCATTACTTAGGAAATCAAGAGAACAGACCACCCAACAGGTTCATTCTAGCCGAAGCAATTTAATTCCCTTTCATGCATAACTACAGTTAATTATCCACATGCTAAAACTCAGTAAATTCAAAGAACAGTAATGAGAAGTAGCTATCCCAATCTAATTGCATGTGGATTTTAACGGAAAACAGGGACCCGTCAACCATTCATGTTCATTAAGTTCATTAATAACTACACATGACAGGAAGAAAATGGTAATAAAAATTATTGTAATTTGAATTCCTTGCTAAAGTACACATGACTTTTCTGGCACCAGAAAAGTCCAGACAGAGTAAGTCTTCAGAGAGACTAGAGCTTTGCTCCATACCAACTTTAGAGAAAGGAGATTCAAAGAAATCCCTTTCTCTATAGCGTCATCCCTGACAGCTTCCCATATATCCACACAAGCTGTAAAGCAAAGAAGTAACAAAATAACTGGGTATGATGGAAGAGTAAATGAAAGATTTCAAATAGCACCCATACACCAGTATTAAATATTAAATGCAAGAAATTCAAAGGAAGCTGAAACTAAGATATGTAAAGTCAGCACAACTGCCACGGCTACTGAGATCACATGCAACAAATAAATAAATAAATGGGGGGATGGCAGAGGATGAGATTTTTCCTAACAGAAATTTGTTTTTGTATTTTGTGCAAACATACAGAAGGTACCCAAACATTGTACACACACTCTTATGCACATTTTAAGAAAGGAAAAAACAATTAATATTGTAATATTCAATATATACTAATAACAAAAGATGAATACAAGTCACGTCTGAGTTCCGCAATTACAAGAGATATTCAAAGTATACATATATTATATAATACATAGATAATATCTCTTATAATGTGTATACATTTTTGGCACCCCTAGTATAAAACAAAACTGTATAAATGCACAGAAGTTGCTAGAGAGAACTTCTTTCTAAGGTTCCATATTTCCATATTTTCCCTTGATTTTGTGTTTAAAGGACTTTAAAACTCCCTGTACTACCAAGTACTATGAACAATCTAAGCCACTATCAATGAAGCCATACAATGCTCGTGTCCTATGGATATACAAACTCAAGCCATAAATTAGCTGGTTACTAGAATTCAGAGGAACAGGAATACAAACCCACTGAAGCTTCCTTCCTGGTTACTACTCTCAGAAGACTTTCTTACTATATTATATGAAAATGTCAGTATGGCTCCATTGTCCATATTTTTTCCTGCCTGTTCCCCCATCTCCTAACCTCTTCATGACTCAGGAGCAGAAACAGGGAAACGGGTTAAAGATATTTTTCTCTCACCAGTACCTTCCTACTTTCTAAGTACCACAAAATTGTTCTAACTTAGGCAAAGAAATAGCAACCATGAGAATATAAAGTTTCACTGCTTTTCACCCAAATTCTTGTGGCCCTACTGAAATCATGCTGCCCTGCTGTGGCCTCCTATCCATTTCCTGATTGTGCTTTTGTTTGTATCTTTCCATTTGAGAGAGCTACCCAAAGAAACTTTTAACTCTCACTAGATTAATGACTGTTGGGGTCTCTGAGACTTACTGTTGACATAAATTTAGCCAGTAATGGCTATTTTTCAATTATTCTCACCCTTCCTCATGAGTTTGTCTGGTAGACTAACTAATTATTGAATTATTTCTAACCTGTAAAGCCTTGAACTCCTCAGATAAAACGGGCTATGTAAACAAAATCATCCAGTAATACTGGAAATCAACTCATCTCTTCTTGTACTGGGCTACTTAGATCCTGTGAAAGCAAGACACTTCTTCCCTACTTGCACTGCATTAACTGAATAATACAACTTTTTTGTTGTTATAAGTGAAATACATAATGTTTATCCCATGAGATTAAAAGATACTTGAATAAAGGAATGGTGTCAAGGTTAGCTGAGAAACCAAACGAATTCAAATGCACAGGCATTAAGAATTTATTACTCGGTAAATCTATTTCTTTACAAATTAATGGCAGCATTATAGACTATCAGGTGGCATCTATTTGCTTCATATGTAAAAAAAGAAGACTGTGGTACATTTTAAATGTAACTTCATTTAACATTTGACTAGCATTTGTGCATCATTCATTTTCAAACAATTCAAAATGATAGTTGATGGCAAAGAAATACTAGCATTCCCTAAGAAAAGCTAGAAACAAACTAATTTCCCAGCCAAAGCTATCTTCACAGCTGCAAAGATTAGGAAATAAAATAGTAGTGAATTCTAGGATTTCCAAAGACAAAACTTACCTTAATCTAGCACAGAATCACCTGGCATGGAACCCTAAAGAAACTTACATTGAGCTTTAAACATCAAGTTTTAAAATAAGAATTTTGAAAAACAATCTACTGCATTAATTATAAAATGTAATCCGGTACTTACACTTGTAGCTATCATCGGCATTACTGCTGTGACAGCAGCACCAAGAAGCATGGTCAAGGTTTTGAAGGTTACTAAAATTTCCTATAGGCCAGTAGAAAATCTTTAAGGCCTCCTTTCAAAATATGCCAAATATTAAGGAAGACCAAATGCTATGCCAAAAATACCAAAGATGTAACGTTGTAATAATTAACTCTTTAAAGTTGCTGACAGTAAGAACACATTTAAGGATTTTAATAATCTCAAAGTTGTATAAGACTCATCTACTTTCTTTTGTATGTCAGTAAAGCTCAAATGAATAAATAACTGCCCAGTTTATAAAATTCTCCAGTTAACTAATATTAAGATCCCTGATTTAACACAAGTTCAGCTGCAAAGCCAAGTATGTTTGGTAAAAAGGAAATGTTGGCTTTTCTTTTATTCACTCAATTTCTCTGAAAAGTAAAGTTCTTACTAATGAAAGTAAACCAGAGGGAAAGAGAAAAGCAAGCAGAAGGAAATGGGAAAAAGAAAAGAGGTGGAAGGAGAGAAAAGCGGGAAAAGAGGGGAAAATAAAAGCCAACCTGTATAGATAGGGCATTTACAATAATTTTGTTAAATTCTTAGAATTTTCAAAAATTAATCTCTCTGCCACAGTTTGCTAAAAAGACATAATATGCCTTTAAGCTCACACTAAGGAAGCAAGTTATTCTAAATTAATATCAGAAATAACTGAAAAAAATTATATTTTTAAACTCCATCAAACATTTAGGAGAGTACTTTATACCAAATTATATACACATTGTTTTTTCTCCCTTTATGTTTTTCTTTCCAATTCTTGAGTTTTTTGATAGATGTGGTAACCAAAGGTTTTGGTTTGGCCATAAACCAAGTTAATTTCATTAACAATGAAGAGTTAGATACTTGCCTTCATCACTCTTCCTCAAGCACTTCTAAGGTGTATAAGAATCCTTTTAGGAAAAACTGAAAAACAAACAATAAGAATTGTAACGTGAAAAATTTAGAAGGGGAAACTTATCATAGATGTACAGAAAAGACTGAAAATGTAATCAAAGTGTCAATAGTCCTTACTGCTCACTGATAGAGTATGATAATTTTTTCTAGTATCTTTTAATGTTTTCTAATTTTTCTGAAATGTAATTAAGAAGAATTATCAAGAAAGAAGATATTCTGGGAAAAAAGAATATTAACTTATCAGCATTTAAAGAGAAAAGTGGAGGCTGGGAATCGTGGCAGAAGCCTGTAATCTCAGCACTTTGGGGGGCCAAGGGGAGTGGATTGCCTGAGTTCAGGAGTTCAAGACCAGCATGAGCAAGAGCAAGACCCCATCTCTAAACAATAGCTTGGCACTATGGCAGGCGCCTGAAGTCTCAGCTACATGGGAGGCTGAGGCAAGAGGATCACTTGAGCCCAAGAGCTTGAGGTTGCTGTGAGATACGATGCCACGGCACTCTACTGAGGGTGATAAAGTAAGACTCTGTCTCCAAGAAAAAAAAAGAGAGAAAGCAGAAAATGTCCAAGATAACAATAAATATTTTTAACACTATCATACTGAGTAAGGAACAGGCATTCCATTAATTCTAATCTTAATGTTAACACGCAATATAAAACAAACACATGAAAGCATCACAATTTTTATGAGTAAATATTTTTTAAAGTAGCTTTCAAATCTGTATCTGCAATTTTATATTCAAAGGCTACTCTAAAAACCGTATCTACCATGTACAATTGAGAAGTGAAGAAGCAAAGCCAGGCTCAGGCACTCAGACCTGTAATCTTAGCACTCTCAGAGGCCAAGGCAGGTGGATTACCTGAGCTTACAGGTTCGAAACCAGCCTGAGTAAGTGTGAGCCCCCATCTCTAAAAAACAGCTGAGCATTGTGGCAGGCACCTGTATTCCCAGCTACTCGGGAGGCTGAGATAAGAGTACCGCTTGAGCCCACGAGATTGAGGTTGATGTGAGCTATGATACCATGCTTTTACCAAGGGTGACAAATTAAGACTCTGTCTCAAAATAAATAAATAAATAAAATAAAAATAAATTTTAAAAATGTGAGACGCCCGAAAATTAGTATTTCCCTGGAAAACGAGCTTTTAACAGCCATTACCAAAGAAGCAATTTAATTAAACAAGTAGTTTGGAGACATCTGCTATAGACCCACCATTATATAGATCTGCCTTCATGGAAGTCATAATCTAGGATACAAAGTAAGATTTACTTACTTCAAACACTGGAAAACGGATAATTAACTGCTAAAGTATGTAAGGATGACTGTAATTACCATTAAAAGTAAGGAAGATCAGTCAGGATTGGATTTGTTTGGGAAACACATGAAAAAGTGCTCACCTTCCCAAATCATCACAGAAAGATAAATCAAAACCACTTTAAAATATCACCTAACCCCACTGAGAATAGCCCACATCACAAGGTGCCAAAACTGCAGATGCTGGTATGGGTGCAGAGAGAGGGGTACACTTATGTACTGCTGGTGGGATTGCAAACTAGCTCAGCCTATTTGGAAAGAAGTATGGAGATTCCTCAAAAGAACTTAAAAGTAGACCTCCCATTTGACCCCACAATCAAACTAGGTATCTATCCAGATGAAAAAAATTCATTTTACTACAATGTGCACTCATGTTTATAGCAGTTCAACTCACAACTGCAAAAATGCCTATCAACCCATAAATAGATTAATAAATTGTGGTATATTTATACCTTTAAATACTATTCAGCACCCACAAAAGGAGATGGAGACATTGCATCTTTTGTATTTACCTGGATGGATTTAGAGAACACTCTCTTAAGTACCTCAATAATGGAAAAGCAGGGATCCCATGTCAACTACATGCCCACACAAGAGAAAACCACAATTAAATTCAAGAATGTTCAGTGGGTCGTGTGCCAGCCACATACACCCGGGCTGGCAGGTTCGAACACAGCCCAGGCCTGCTAAAGACAACAATGACAACTACAACAAAAAAACACCCAGGCGTTGTGGTGGGCGCTTATAGTTCCAGCTACCTGGGAGGCTGAGGCAAGAGAATTATTTAAGCCCAAGAGTTTGAGGTTGCTGTGAGCTATGATGCCATAGCACTCTACTGAGAGCAACATAGTGAGATACTCTGTCTCAAAAAAGTAAAAAAATAAAATAAAATACAAATAAATTCAAGAAGAGGGGAAAGGAAGGAGTAGGCTGGTAAGTTTCCACCTAACGGGTACAATGTAGGGGTATTTAGCACACTTCTGGGTGAAGGACTCAACTGCAACTTGTGAACTAATCATGAATACCCACATACGAACCTGAAATTAAATATATGTGTGTGTGTATATTTTTTTTTAATTTTTTTTAACTAGGCTTTTACTGAGCTCTGAAGGACAAGATGGATGGACATGCAGAAAGATACAGGCCAAATTTCCAGCCAAAAAGCAGTAAATGCAGTTCAGTCTGGGGTCCAGTAAAGAGTCCTGATGGACCATACTGGTAGATATACATTTCTGAGTAGAAGAAATATAACACTGAATAGACAAGGCTGGGAAGCTAAAGAGGGCTTCAAATGTTGGGTAATTATTTATTGAATGCTTATATATGTTAGGTATTAAACTAAACTGAGGTGATTTATATATACTATCTCTAATCCTTATAATAACCCCGCAAGAAAGGGTTAAGTTACTCCCAATTTATATTTGAAAAGCTAAGGCCAAAAAAGGTCTAGTGACTAAAATTTTGGCTTGATATAGTAGACAAGAGCCATTTTAGGATTTTAGAATATATAGGATGTTTCGGGACTAATAATCTAGAGGTATGTAAAATGCATTAGAAGAGTAAAAGACTGTAAGGAGAGAAATTTGGTAAGCAACTTGTAATAATTTAGAAAAAAGTGGTAAGAAAGAGCTGAGCCCATAGGTATGGCTGGGAATGGGTCATAAGAAACTAAATGGAAAGGAGTGAGCACACAAAAAAGTACTAAAGAGTCAACAGAAATTCCTCATATTATCATAATAAATCTTGAAAAAGCATCTAATAAAACTGATACTTATAGTTATTAGCTGGAAATTTACTTAAACATACAATCATCCAATTCATTCTTATTTCAACAATAAAACATCATGCATGTTTTATTTAGCTCAAAAGACCTTTGTTGCCTTTCTTTTAAAAAAAAAAAAAAAGAGGCTTGAAATTTTATTTATTTATTTATTTAGTTTGCAGTTTTTGGCTGGGGCCAGGTTTGAACCTGCCACCTCAGGTATATAGGGCTGGGACCCTACTCCTTAAGTCACAGGTGCCACCTCCTTTTTGTTGCCTTTTAACAAATCTCATTGGCTCTCTCTAGTCTGTGTGAGAGTTATTTTCTTGTATCCAACATTGGTAAAATGTCCTTTATTGCTCTGGACCTAAAAGAGCTCAGTTGGTCATATTGTTTTTGTTTATTTTCTTAAATATTTCTCAAGTCTGGAGTTCTGTAAAGAGGCCCGATGGACCATTCAAGATTTTACAACTATAAAATTTCATTTTTCTTGGGCAGCACCTGTGGCTCAGTAGGTAGGGCGACAGCCCCATATACTGAAGGTGGTGGGGTCAAACCCGGCCCCAACCAAACTGCAACAAAAAATAGCTGGGCATTGTGGCGGACGCCTGTAGTCCCAGCTACTTGGGAGGCTGAGGCAAGAGAATCGCCTAAGCCCAGGAGTTGGAGGTTGCTGTGAGGTGTGACGCCACAGCACTCTACCGAGAGTGATAAAGTGAGACTATCTCTTTAAAAAAAAATTCATTTTTCCTTCCTCTCACACATCATTTACAACACAGTAAAGTAGAAAATTTTTAACTACCCAAGAAAGCTTACCTATCTTTCCATGGATTCTTTGGAAATCTCTTTTTCTACAGTCTTCAGTAAAGAGCTTATTATGACCAGTGTTTGCTATTCAAGGCTATTTTCATGCTGTCAACAAGTTTTTCCTTTTCAGACATTTAAAAATAAATAAATAAATCCCTCACAGTTTCTCTTACTTTTTCTTTTTTTTTCTGGATGACAGAGGCTTTTTCCATCTGTTACCATATGCTTAGTTTTCCCTAAATAATTATCTAGCTGAACCAGTCCCACCCTACAACCCACCAACAGGGAGATACTCTCTGTTTCAATTTATGAGAGATATAGCAAAATTATTATAGGAATAATGTGTTGTGGATTTCAAATGTATAAAGAATGCAAATATTTCAGAGCATACAGAGTTAGAGTTTCAAGAGTCTTATATCGTCCAAAAAGAGTATAAAAACAAAATAAAACCTGCAATGATTTTTTTTAATTATACTGATTTATATAAAAATTTGAAGTATACAACCATGTATATAGTATGTTATTTGTCCCTTTCTTGAGAGTCTCACTTCATTGCCCAGGCTAGAATGCCATGGCCTTAGCATAGTTCACGGCAACCTCAAACTTCTGGGCTACAGCGATCCTCCTCCCTCAGCTTTCTGAGTAGCAGGCATGCACTACCATGCCTGGCTAATTTTTCTGTTTTAGAAGAGTCAGGGTCTCACTTTTTTCTTTTCTTTTCTTTCTTTTTTTTTTTTGAGACATAGTCTCACTATGTCGCCCTCAGTAGAGTGTTATGGCATCACAGCTCACAGCAACCTCAAACTCTTGGGCTTAAACAATTCTCTTGCCTCAGCCTCTCAAGTAGCTAGGACTACAGGCATCTGCCACAATGCCTGGCTATTTTTTTTGTTGTAGTTGTCACTGTTGTTTGGCGGGCCCCGGGTGGGTTCAACCCCACCAGCCCCAGTGTATGTGGCTGGTACCCTAGCCACTGAGCTATAGGTCCTGTAGTCCTAGCTACTTGGGAGGCTGAGGCACCAAGCCCAGGGTCTCTTTTGCTCGGGCTGATTTCAAACTCCTGAACTCAAGGGATCCTCTGGCCTCAGCCTCCCAGAGTACCAGAATTAAAAGCCAAAGCTACCCCACCC